CATTTCCACGGTTTCATTTTGCTTTTCCTTCAAGATCTCAATTTCATGGGAGGCATTTTCCTTCAGGTCCTGTATGGATTTAATTAGGTCATGTATTTCCTTCTGATGACTTCTGTGTAATCTTATAATCAGTGTTTTGAATTCCATTTCTGGCCTTTCTTCCATCTCCTCATCTTCACAATCTAGTGTTGAGGTGTTATGTTCTTTTGGGGGTGTCATCTTTATTCTTTCTTGAATTGGCACACTTGTTATTTGGCATTTGTGGATATACTTGTTGGTTTCTTCTTTGTATTTTTGCTGTGCAGCTTGTATCTTTATGCTATGCCTCTATAGATTAGTGGAGTGTCTGTTCTTAGTGAATATTGAGAGGCACGTGGGGGGTGTGGCCAGAGAGCTCTGTTCAGTTCTCAGGTGTGAAGGGCATGTCTGAGATGACACACACAGGTTTGGCATGATCTGTCTCTCTCTCTTTTCTTTTAAGATTTATTTATTTAATTGAAAGAGTTACACAGAGAGAAGAGAGGCAGAGAGAGAGAGAGAGAGAGAAAGAGAGAGAAAGTCTTCCATCTGCTGGTTCACTCCCTAGTTGGCCACAACGGACGGAGCTGTGCTGATCCAAAGCCAGGAGCCAGGAGCCTCCTCCAAGTCTCCCACGTGGGTGCAGGGGTCCAAGGACTTGGGCCATCTTCCACTGCTTTCCCAGGCCACAGCAGAGAGCTGGATGGGAAGTGGAGCAGCTGGCTCTCGAACCGGCGCCCATATGGGATGCTGGCGTTTCAGGCCAGGGCATTAACCTGCTTCACCACAGCACCAACCCTCTTATTATTATTTTTTTTTAATCAGAGGGGAGGTTTGTTCTTGTCTGTTGGTGTAGACTCAGCTGAGCTCCTCTCCTCAGTGGAGACCATTCCTGGGCGTCAGCCCCAGTGGGTACGATATTCGTCCACTCTGCCCCAAGGAGCCCACAAAGAATCTGTGCAGTCCTCAGTGTGAGCTCAGATTCCCCAACAGTGTCGCTCACCAGGTGACCAGGGAGCCCTGAGCGTGTGGAGCCTCCCACAGTGACTGCCCAGTGTCCCACCCACACCCGAGACCTCCCCCTCAGCCTCAGTGTGTTCACAGTCCCCGCACCCGAGCCTCCCCATCACCAGCACCCAGCACTCAGCCTCCTCCAGTCACAGCACCTGGCACCCAAGCCTCCCCCAGTCACCAGCACCCAGCACCCGAGCCTCCCCCAGTCAGGAGCACCCAGCACTCAGCCTCCCCCAGTCACAGCACCCAGCACACAAGCCTCCCCCAGTCACAGCACCCAGCACCCAAGCCTCCCCCAGTCACAGCACCCAGCACCCAAGCCTCCCCCAGTCAGGAGCACCTGGCACACGAGCCTCCCCCAGTCACAGAACGCAGCACACGCGCCTCCCACAGTCACCAGCACCCAGCACTCAGCCTCCCCCAGTCACCAGCATCCGGCACGCAAGCCTCCCACAGTCGCAGCACCCGGCCCCTGCTCTCCCCACCAGACTCAGGAGTCTCCACTAAGCTGGTAGCTGGGCATGGACATGGGCTGGTGCAGCTGTTATGTCTGTGCAAAATGGTGCCTGCTCTCTATCAGTTTGTTACCGGACACTGTTGTAGAGTGACTGGGGAGGGAGAAATGTGCCCCATCTTTGCTTTTCCCCTCTGGTTTGGCGGGTACACTCTCCCCCACGGGGCTCCAAGCCGGGTTCCCTGTAGGCTCTTCCTGCAGCTTTCTCGCCAGTGGCTGCGGTCTGGTCTGACCTCACATTGCAAAGCTGAGGCTCCTGGCTGGGCTCCTGAGCTGTGGGCGTCCACCGTGTCCTCTCATTTGCCGTCTTCTCCCTAACTCTGCCCTGAGCCTGCATCTCTCTCCTAGACCAGAGCAGGATGCGCCCTCTCTGCTCCGCCATCTTGATCCCACCCCTAATTCCCGGGCTGGTTCTGAGCTGGCACTGCTGCCCTGGCCGTCTCTGAGCCCAGGGTTCCTCAGCTGGGCCACGGCCGAGCTTGGCCCCAGGCAGGTGTCGGCGCCGTTCCTCCGGCTCGGTTTCTGGGGAGGACGCTCAGTGCTGGGTGCTCGGGCTCTGCAGACGGCCAGATGCGGCTCCGGGAGACACTGCCGTTCCCCACCTGGTGCCAGCCCCTCCCGGGGATGTCGTGTGCTGTTTGTGTCCAGCTCAGTGCCCACAGGCACCCTCTCAGGACCTCACTCCTGGCTTCGGGGTCCTGAGACCAAAACTCAGGGAACTGGGGTGCAGGGCCTGGTTCTGTTCTCAGTGGTGCCCCCTCGTGCACCCTCTGACCCCGAAAGTTTGCCCGCTGTGGCCTTTCCTGTTGCCGCATGACGTGGCCCTCTGAACAGCCAGGACAAGCCTGGGCTTTGCGGCTGAGGTCCAAGTGTACGTGGGACACACGTGGCGGGGTCCACGGACTTGTGGTTTAAACCGTGTTTCTCGTTTCCCGAGTCCCAGCCTGGGGCGGAGAGATTGGCTGGCCGTGAACCCCCGGCCTGGTCTGGGTGCTGGTGGGAAAGACCCCATGTGGATGGGAGAGGGGGAGGGGCGGGGTGTGGGGCGCCGTGGGGACCCCGGGTCCTGGGGAGCTGAGCAGCCCTGGGCGGTGGCTTCCCTTGCTGAGCCTCCTGGGCTCAAGCCGAGAGTCCTGGCCTCCACGTCTGGGCTGGACAAGGGGCTGGGTGCAGAGTGCTTGGGGGCCCACTGGGTGCTGGTCAGGGTGCCTGCCCCGTTCCTGCCGCTGTGACCCGGTCCCCCGTGGGGACCACCATAGTTCTGATGGCCCAGAGCTGCAGAGTGGAGGTGGCGGGGGCCATGGCAGGGGCCGTGGGAACGGGGAGGCCTCACCTCTCCTTCCTGGGCAGGAAGCTCCGGTCTCAGCTAGCCGGGGTGGAGGTGGGGGTTGGGGGGAATTGAGGCACAGTGCGGCTAAAGGTCACACGCTCAGTAACTTTTTATTCCTTTGTTAAATGTTTATCTTGGGGCCTGCGCTGTGGTGCAGTGGCTTAAGCCACCGCCTGCAGTGCTGCCATCCCGTATGGGCGCTGGTTCAAACCCCGGCTGCTCCACTTCCTATCCAGCTCTCTGCTGTGGCCTGGGAAAGCAGCAGAAGATGGCCCAAGTGCTTGGGCCCCTGCATCCATGTGGGAGACCTGGAAGCTCCTGGCTTTGGGCTGGCCCAGCTCTGCCTGTTGCAGCCGTTTGAGGAGTGAACCAGCGGATGGAAGATCTCTCTGTCTCTCCGCGTCTCTGCTTTTCAAATGATAAATAAATAAATCTTTTTTTAAAATTTATTTTTATTTATTTTTTTTGACAGGCAGAGTGGACAGTGAGAGAGAGACAGAGAGAAAGGTCTTCCTTTGCAGTTGGTTCACCCTCCAATGGCTGCTGCGGCTGGCGCGCTGCGGCTGGCGCACCACGCTGATCCGATGGCAGGACCCAGGTACTTCTGGTCTCCCATGGGGTGCAGGGCCCAAGCACTTGGGCCATCCTCCACTGCACTCCCTGGCCACAGCAGAGAGCTGGCCTGGAAGAGGGGCAACCGGGACAGAATCCAGCGCCCCAACCGGGACTAGAACCCGGGGTGCCAGCGCCGCAAGGCGGAGGATTAGCCTAGTGAGCCGCGGTGCCGGCAATAAATAAATCTTTAACAAATTTTTTGTTTGTTTGTTGAAAGGGAGAGGGAGAGAGGGCAATCATGCACACTCTCCCATCCTCTGGTTCACTCCCGGGGCTGGACCAGGCTGGACCCAGGAGCCAGGAACTCAATCCGGGTCTCCCACGTGGGGGCAGGGGCCCAGCGTCCTCGCTGCCTCCCAGGGTGCCCGTGCGCAGGGAGCTGGGTTGGATGTGTGACCCCCAGGGCGGGAACAGGCACTCCGCTTGGGGATGTTAAGTGTGGTGGGGGAAGAACCAGCAGACAGCAACTCCTGTCCAGTTCCACGGAACCTACTGCCCATGCGCGGGGCCCTCGAGCACTTGTGGAAAGATGGATTAAATGTTTTGGTGCAGACACGTTTTTGAATCCACACGTCACTTTTATTTTTTGTTAATTAAAGACTTATTTATTTGAAAGAGTTGCAGAGAAAGACAGAGCTCTCCCATCTGCTGGTTCATTCCCTAACCAGCTGCAATGGCTGGAGCTGGGCCAGGAGCCAGGAGCTCCATCCAGGGTCTCCCACGTGGGCGCAGGGCCCCAAGCACTGGGCCGTCTTCCACTGCTTCTGCAGGCCGTATCAGAGAGCTGGATCGGAAGTGGAGCAGCCGGGGCTCGAACCGGTGCCCATAGGGGATGTATGCCGGTGTAGCAGGCGGTGGTTTTACATGCTGTACCACAGCAGGTGCCACAGCACAGGCCCCCACGCGTGGCTTTTCCTGACGCACGTTCCGTAGGAGTGTTTTGGGGCCCCCTCCCCCACCGAGTGAGTCCTGGGGGCTCCTGTGTCGTGGCTGCTCCTGCTGACCCGGCTGCGTCCTCACTGCTCCTCGCACACACCCCCGCGGGGTCCTCTGTGCAGCAGGGTGGGTGGGCTCCGGCGTCACTGCTGCCTGGTGATGGGATGGTGCCACAGATGGGATAAGCAGGCGGCGTTGCAGTGGGGGCCGTGGGCTGCTTTGCTGTCCCAGAGGCGGGGGGAGGGTGATGGTTTCCTGCTGTCACTGCTTCTGGGTTTGCAGGGCTCAGTGTTAAGGGGGTGTGGGGTCTCAAGTCCCCCTGTCTTTGTGTGGGTGCATGGCACAGCGGGGGCCCTGTGAGGGTCCCAGCAGAGCTCAGAGCCACGCACGGCTCCCGGGACCCCCATCCCGGCCAAGGGGGCGGCACGCCCTGTGCTGGGCTCAGGTCTAAGGGTCCAGCGCCTCCGGCTGGGGGTGGGCGAGGCTGGTGGTGGTGGCTGCCCCAGGCCGGGGGTCCCCGAGGGTGCCGCCCGTCCCCCGCCACGGTGACAGCCGTGCCCGCTGTCCCAACAGGGTACCCGGCACAGCGGCTGGCAGGAGGTTCCGGGAGAGCCCGTGGCCGTGGCCCCGAGCCGCTCATGGGCAGCGGCAGGAGCGCCCCGGAGAGGCCAGGCCCTGCGTGCCCGCCATGCTGCAGTGCCGGCCGGCCCAGGAGTTCAGCTTCGGCCCGCGGGCGCTGAAGGACGCGCTGCTGTCCGGGGACGCGGCGCTGCGGCAGCTGTACGCCGCCAGCTTCTCGCCGGCCGAGCGGCTCTTCCTGTCCGAGGCCTACAACCCGCGGAGGTCGCTCTTCTGCTCGCTGCTCGTCCACTCGGCCTTCGACTGGCTGCTGAGCCGCCCCGAGGCCCCCGAGGACTTCGCCGCGTTCCACGCCTCGCTGGGCCGCCGCCGGCCCAGCCCGGCTCGCAAGCACATCTACCTGCAGCCCATAGGTGAGGCGGCCGCGGGCCGGTGCGGGGAGAGGCAGGGACGCCCCGCTGCCGCTGTCCAGGTGCTGGGCTGTGCCCAGGGTCGCCGCCTCCAGGGGGCGCTGGGGTTGGGATCAGCCCATCACACGGGCAAGAAAACCGAGGCTCAGGGGTCCCTTGATCCGCAGCCCGTTTGCTTTTGCTGGGCTCAGAGACCGGCTGGGCACTGTGGGGCCCCAGGGTGGCTGAGCCAGCGGCCCAGGCTGATGCGGGGGAGGGTGGCACCCTGGCCACGTGCAGCACTCAGCTTTGGAGAGGGGGGAAGGGCGGCAGGGGGCTCCCGTCTGAGCCCTGGGGAGCCCCCCAGTCCCCATCGTCTCAGCCTTGAGCCCACACACACTGGCCCATGCTGGCCCCTGGTGGCCGGAGTCCCACACGAGGAGTCCTCTGTCCTGGTCTCGGCCACCCCTGGACACCCCCGGCCACCCCCGGCCACCCTGCAGTTCCGCCTGTAACTCCGGCTCGGCTTCCCGCTGGCCCTTGCCTGCTGGCCTCCTCCCTCTGACCTGGAAACACGTAGGCACCAGTGCAGACACGGGCAGGTCTCAGCCGGTCTGGGGCCTGCGTTTTCAGCTGCTCTGGGGTGAGGTTGAGGCCAGGGGCTTGGGGAGTCTGCACCCACTTGGTCTCGGGTCTCCTGGCCCTGCCGGCTGCGCTGTCGCCCTGGCGTCCGCACACCATGCCCTATGCCTGTCCTGACGTGTCCCCCACCCGCCTCTGCCCGCAGATCTGATCGAGGGGCCGGTGGGAGGCCCCCTCCTGGACACCCTGCGCAGCTGCACGGAGGCCTTCTTCCTGGGCCTGCAGGTCAAGTGCCTGCCCTCGGTGGCGGCCGCATCCATCCACTGCAGCTCACGCCCGGCGCGGGACTCTGAGAGCCTCCAGCTGCACACAGGTGAGGCCGGAGGCAGGGCCTGGCTCGGTGTTGCGACCCCAGGTCGCTGTCGGGGGCTGGGGGTCAGGGAGTGAGCCTGGGTCCAGGGGCAGGCAGGGACCGGAGCACTCAGGTGCACAGGGGCCTCGGGCTGCGGTTCCCCGGAGGTCCCTGCTGGGCTGGCGCTGGGTGTGGGTGAGAGGCTGGGGGGACACTGGCTCTGGGGACGTCTGGCTGCTGTCCCTATGCATGGGCTGACCCTGTGGTGCAGTCCCCCCGCGTCTCCCTCTGCTTGTTGTCTTGAGTCTCGGTTCGTTGTCATCTTCCAGTTTACTAACGCTATCTCTAGCCTTGTCTAAGCTGCTGCTTTTTAATGAGTAATTTTTTTTTTAAACATAAACTTATTTGAAAGGCAGAGGGAGAAAGAGAGAGATTGAGATTGATCGATCGATCTTCTGTCTGCTGGTTCAATCCCCAAAAGCTGCAACGGCTGGGGCTGTGCCAGGCAGCAGCCAGGAGCCAGGAGCCCTGTCCGGGTCTCCCACGTGGGTGCAGGGGCCGGAGCACTTGGGCCGTCCTTTGCTGCCTTCCAAGGTGCGTTAGCCGGGAGCTGGATGGGAGGTGGAGCCACCGGGACTCACACTGGGGCCCGGGCTGCTGCCGGCGGCTTCACTTGCCGAGCCAGCACGGAGGCTCAGCTTGCTGGTCCGGGGACTTTTTGGGTTCTGTGTTTCTGTCTGTGCGCCTGGCAGAGAGACAGCCTGCGAGCCAGGGTGGCTGTGATGGTTCTTTCTGTCGATGCTGTCTCGTCTGCCCTGCCCTGCTTCAGTGTACGCCTTGTTCGGTTTTGGTTGTGGGTTGGACATCTTGCTTGAAGAATTCCTTAGGGAGGAGTCTGTGGCCAGGGTTTTGGCCTCTGCCAGGCTGGTGTGTGGGGCAGGGATGGGCGGGACCTCCAGAATGGGGGAGCGCTGGGATGCGTCACTGGGGTCCCCCTGCTCCTTGTCTTGTCAGGTGTCTGTCGCAAAGCTGTATTGACTGAGGTGGGACGTGGGCGGCCAGCCCCTTCCTCTCCGGGGTGCGGTTCCTCAGGGCCATTGCCTCGGGCACCGTTGGCAGCCAGTCCCTCCCCACGGTGTCACCGTGCTCGCCACGCTGGGGCTGACGGGACCACCTGGCACCTTGCTTGGCTGTGCCCGGTTGCCAGGTTTGTGCCTTTGGGGGCCTGGTTTCTCTCGGGTGCGGCCCTTGGGCTCAGCCCAGCCTGCCCTGGGGATCCAGGTTCCTCAGACCCCCAGCACCCCACCCCCGAGCGCCACTCCCATCTCACGCTCCTGGGTCCTGGGAAGGTGAGGGAGGAACCACGGCTGGGGGCGGGAGTGTGTGCGAGGTGCACACGCAGGGAGAGCCCTGAGGCCATGGTCAGCCATGCGCTCGGGCCGCGGGACTGGGGCTGAGCTGAGGCTCTGGAGGTGTGGGCAGGGCCAGGTCTCCCGAGGGCTCTCGCATAGGCTCCGTCCGTGGCGCTTTTGGGTCACTCTCCTCCCCACTGTGGGCCCCCACCCCCTCACGGGCCACCTGCCGACCTCGCCTTAATGTGGTGACACCGTGGAGGGCTCTTTCCCACCAGGGTCCCCTCCGCGGGCACCGGGCATGGGGGCTTCGACCATTGTCTTGTCCAGTTTTACTTAGGTTTTATTTAAGAGAAGGACAGAGAGAGGCAGACCTGGTTCACGCCCCAGATGCCTCCTGCAGTCAGGGCTGCGCCGGGCGCCGGGACGCCGGGCGCCGGGACTCCATGCAGGTCTCCCGTGTCGGAGCCGTCACTGGGCCGCCCGGGTGCGCACTAGCAGGAAGCTGGGACTTGAACAGGATACAGGATGTGGGCGTCTCACCAGGGTCCCGAGTGCTGTGCCCCGGCCTGCCTCCCGCCCAGTCTTCACCATCACCGTCTTCATAGCGGAAGTTCCCAGACCTCCGAGACCTTAGCCACTCACTGGCCAGGTCGTGAGCCACACCGGTGGCACCTGCACAGGGGCACCGGCCACGGGGTAACAGAAAACGTGGCCAATCGGAAATGCCCGGGAAAAGAGATACCAAATTTTCTCTTTGTTAAAGATTTATTTGAGGCCGGCACCGCGGCTCACTAGGCTAATCCTCCGCCTTGCGGCGCCAGCACACGGGGTTCTAGTCCCGGTCGGGGCGCCGGATTCTGTCCCGGTTGCTCCTCTTCCAGGCCAGCTCTCTGCTGTGGCCAGGGAGTGCAGTGGAGGATGGCCCAAGTGCTTGGGCCCTGCACCCCATGGGAGACCAGGATAGGTATCTGGCTCCTGCCATCGGATCAGCGCGGTGTGCCGGCCGCGGCGGCCATTGGAGGGTGAACCAACGGCAAAGGAAGACCTTTCTCTCTGTCTCTCTCTCACTGTCCACTCTGCCTGTCAAAAAAAAAAATTTATTTGAGAGGCAGAGTTGAGAGACAGAGAGAGGTCTTCCATCTGCTGGATCACTCCCCAAATGGCCACAACAACTGGAGCTGGGGCAGATGTGAAGCCGGGAGCCAGCAGCTTCTTCCAGGCCTCCTATGCGGGTGCAGGGGCCCAAGCACTGGGTCATCTTCTACTGCTTTTCCAGGCCACAGCAGGGCGCTGGATTGGAAGTGGAGCAGCCAGGACTCGAACTGGTGCCCACGCGGGATGCTGGCACTGCAGGCAGAGGCTTAACCTGCTGCACCACAGCGCTGGCCCCTATATATCAAATTTTTAAAGAAGATTTTATTTATTTGGAAGGCAGGGTTGCAGAGACAGATCTTTCACCCACTGGTTCTCCCCTGGCAGGGCCAGGCTGAAGCCAGGCGCCCAGGCGCTTGGGCCAGTGCTGTCCCAGGTGCACTAGCAGGGAGCTGGATCCAGTGCTGATACGGATGCTGGCGTTGTGGGCACTGGTGCAGCCCGTGGGCCACACTGCCAGCCCCTATGCTGAATCTGAACACTGGGAGTGAAAATGTAGACTTTGTTTTTAAAATTTAATTCTGTGCCAAGACATTATTGTGGGCACGAGGCAGAAGATGCCGTGCTCGTCAGCCTCGAGGGAGACGGCCGTGCTGCAGGCCGGCTCGCTCCGGGTGCCCTCTCCCTGGCTGCCCCGCCCCATGCCGTCCCCTGCGTGGTCTCGGCTCCCCACTCCGACGGTTCCGGGTCCCTTCAGCTCCTGTCTCGGCTCAGGTCGCCGTGGTAGGTCACTGGGACCGCTGTGTGGGGACTGCGCAGTTGGGATGAGGGAAGTCTCTGGTCTCAGTTCTGGGGGCCACAGGGGAGCCCCCCAGGCTGTGCCTCCATGTCCGCCACTGCCGCTCCCCCATGGTGTGCGGCTGAACTGAGCCCTCCAAGGTCCTGCCTGCGTCAGCTGAGGGCTCTGCCCTCCCTCGCACGCCCCTGCGCACGAATGTACAGCCAGGCTGAGTGTACTCAGAGAAAGTGAATTGGCAGAGGTGGGTGGCCAGCTGCCCGCGTGCACATGATGGAACACGGGGCAGAGGCCCCTGGCCCAGCGGCTGGGCCTTTTTATATTTTAGGAGGGGTAGGGTAGGGCAGAGGCAGAGGGGAACTCCTGAAACCGGGCTTTGGGGAGGCCGTGGGGCCAGGACTGTTCCAATGCTCACCTCCTGGGCGGTGATCTAGAGCGGCCGCGGCTGTGTCCCCGTGCTGTCTCTCCTGACTGAGTGGCTACTTCCTGCTGATGCGGGTGTAGACCCGGAGCCAGGACTTGGGGGGGTGCGTCTATACTGGAGATGAGACGGCTTGAGCTATGGGGGTCATGCGTTCGTGCAGGACCTCTGGGATGGGTGAACTCTGCAGGGCGGAAACAGGAGTCTAGGACTATGAGGACAGGAGGAGGTACTGGGGACGCTGCCCGCGGCAGTCACCTCGTGGACGCCCCTCGTGAGCGCGTCACCGGAGGGGGGGTCCTGTGGGGTCGTACGAGGGGGAGGCCACTGGTTCTACTGCAGTACAGTGTCGCCCGGGGCTGCCCTCTGAGCCTGGCCGCGGTGGGGGTGGTCAGTATCCCCTGGTAGGGCCCATTTCACTGTGGGTAAACCCAGTCGCCAGGCTGAGAGGTGGGAGTGTAGCCGGGGTGGGGGCAGAGTGGGTCGGGTAGGGTGGAGTCTGCACAGGCCCGTGTGGGACAGCGAGAGGAGAGGAGGGGGATGGCTGCAGGGCGCTGTAGGGGAGGGGAGAGGCTTCCAGAGAGAATTCCAGACGAGAGGAGGGGGATGGCTATAGGGCGCTGTAGGGGAGGGGAGAGGCTCCCAGAGGCGAGACGTGACTGCTACCAGAGCTGAAGGAGGAGTCTGCCCCAGTCTCGGTGGACCTGCGCAGAGCTTAGTCGGAGCCTGTTGTAAAATCCCAGGCCTCTGTTCCCCTTTTCCTGAAGAGGGGACGACAGGGAACGTGACAGTGCCGTGAGACGCGGAGAGACACAGATGTGCCCGAGTAATCGAGAGGAGAACTCCGGTCCACGGTCTGACTGGACAGAAGCCGGTAATGAAACCTTGGATTTTTTTTTAAGATTTATTTATTTTACTTGAAAGTCAGAGTTACATAGAGAGCGAGAGTGAGGTCTTCCATCCGATGGCTCACTCCCCAATTGGCTGCGACAGCTGGAGCTGCGCCGATCCGAAGCCAGGAGCCTCCTCCAGGTCTCCCACGTGGGTGCAGGGGCCCAAGGACTTGGGCCATCTTCTACTTCTTTCCCATGCCACAGCAGAGAGCTGGACAGGAAGTGGAGCAGCCGGGACTCGAACCGGCGCCCACATGGGATGCTGGTGCTTCAGGCCAGGGCATTAACCTGCTGCGCCACAGCGCCGGCCCCTGGGATAGTATCATTTAGTAGTGTATGGAAACAGTGGAAGCTTCTACCCGCCCCGAGAGGGTGTGCCCCATCCCCAGAAGGTGTCGTGTCCCCCCAGCTGGTGGGTCTGGGTGAAGTCAGTCTGCGGTCCCCCCACCCGCCCCGGAAGCCATCGCGGGCCTGGGGCGTGGGGGGTGGGGTGCGCTGATGCTAGAGTTGGGGTGAGGGGTTCGGCAGGTGCTGCAGGTCTGAGATGGTAGGCAGAGTTTGTCCTGTGGTGGAGTCGGGGGTGTGACTCAGGAGTGGAGGAGAGAGCGTGGGTCTGCGTGGTGGAGAGCACGGAGGTTATTTAGGAAGGTAAGCTGGAGAGCAGAGGGGAGTCCAAGTTTTCCACCCAGAGACCTCCACGGGTCCTTCCTAGATGCCCCTGCAGTGGAGCTGGGAGACCTCGAGGCCTGAATTCACAGGCGCTAAGTCAGAGAGCGGCGGGGTCTCCCCACGAGCCGTCCGGCTCCGTTACCGTCACAGCAGCCTGGGGCCGGCTTCGGACGGGCGCTGTTCACCTTCCGGGGGGCCTCGGCAGTAATGGCGGCTCCTGTCGGCAGCTTGCCGTTATCACAGGGCCCTCGGCTCAGCCCTTTCTTGCCGTACCTGGCCACTGAGATGGAAGGTTTTATAGGCATGGCGGGAATCTGTGTATTGACTGTCCTGGGCTAAGGAGAGGGCTGGAATCAAGGCTAACAGTTCAGCCTGTTGGGAGGTGGTGCCCTGAGGGAGGGGCCGAGCCTCTGTGACCCTACGCGGGGAAGGGGGGGGTGTCATCACGGTGCCCCCCAGTTATTGCGTATCCACGGGAAAAGGGGGGGTTTAGAAGCACTGCCGTCAGTGAACCAACCCGGGGCTTGGGAGCAGAAGTGTCTGTGAGGTGGTGAGATGTGGGCAGGGAGAGACAAGGAAGTCGGGACAGGAGTGGGGTGGGGGTGGGGGAGGAATGGGTTCGGGACAGGAGTGGGGTTTGGGGGGATCGGAGAGGGTGGGAGGAGACGCAGGGTTTGGGACAGGAATGGGGTCGGGGGGGATCAGAGGGGGACGCTGGGTTCAGGACAGGAATGGGGTTTGGGGGGATCAGAGAGGGTGGGGGGAGGAGGAATGGAATCGGAGAGGGTTGGGGGAGTTGCTGGGGTCGGGACAGGAATGGGGTTTGGGGGATCAGAGAGGGTGGGAGGAGACGCAGGGTTCGGGACAGGAATGGGGTTTGGGGGGATCAGAGGGTGGGGGAGGAGGCGCTGGGTTCAGGACAGGAGTGGGGGTTGGGGGATCAGAGGGGGGGGAGGAGGAATGGGATTGGAGAGGGTAGGGGGAGGTGCTGGGTTTGGGACAGGAATGGGGTCAGGGGAATTGGGGAGGGTGGTGAGGAGTCACTGGGTTCGGGACAGGAGTGGGGTTTGGGGGGATCAGAGAGGGTGTTGAGGCGCTGGGTTCAGGACAGGAATGGGGTGGGGGGATCAGAGGGTGAGGGGAGGAGGCGCTGTGTTGAGAGGAGAGCAGCGATGAAGGTAACGTGGGCTGGAGAAGGGTGGAGTGGAGAACTTGGACGTGAAACGGCGCTGCAGATGGGAAAGCCCCGTGGCTGAGGAGGCCCTGAAACCTGCGGGAGACCAGGTTGTAAGGGTGGACACAGGGCCAGCTTCTGGCCTTGACCAGCCCCGTCTGATTGTTTGCAGAACCAGGCCCCAGGCGCAGTGGTCTCTTGGCACTAAAGGCCGGACTCTGAGTGCTCGGGGCGGCTGCTGTAGAGGAGCCGCCTTTAGGGTTGGGGCGGGGTCTGGGGGGGGGGTCTCTGGCAAGGGCCCGTCTGGGTTGCCTCTGGCAGCCTCAGGGAGCGGCTCAGCCATAAGAGCAAAGTCTGAAATCAGATGCAGAAACAGCCCACGAGTCCCGAGAGAGAGGCGGTCTTGGGACGTGGGAAGGAAGAGGGGCTGCCTGCTAAGCGCGCGCGTCTGGTGTCACGAGAGGGCACAAGGTGAGGACGTGGAGGTCAGCCGAGCCGCCTCTGGAGACGCCCCGGGAGGGCCCCGGATGGGCCGCGGCATTACGGCGCCACAGGTCCCACACGTCGTGCCGGGAGCGTGGGTGTGTTCCGGGGAGTGAGCGTGTCCGCTCAGAGAGGCGGTCTGAAGGGTTTAGACCTCGGTGGCCTCCTGGGCTGGGGACAGTGGGGGACAGCAGTACAGCAGTGTCTGCAGGGTCTTGCAGAGATGTGAGTGGGGTAGGGTGGGTGCTGATCACTGTCCCCACACCACGGGATGAGCAAGGAGGGAAGGGAATTTGACGGGAAGCACAAAGGTGGGCACTGCAGCCCGGGTGGGGGTGGAGACGGAGGCCCTCACGCGGGTGGGGGTGGAGACGGAGGCCCTCACGCGGGTGGGGGTGGAGACGGAGGCCCTCACGCGGGTTGGGGGGAGACGGAGGCCCTCACGCGGTGGAGCAGGCCCTGCGGGGGAGTTGTATCCCCGGAGGGGCAGTATGAGGGAGGGGTCTTCTCAGGCTTCCACACCAACAGAGACTGCGGAAGGATTCACTTAACACAGATAAACCGGCCCCCGTGGTCACCAAGCTCGCTCGCTTGCCGGACACGGTTCCTGTTACCCTCAGGTCGATGGGGGCATGGAACCCGGGCCTCCTCATTCCGTCAAGTTCAACAGCGACGGGGTTTGAGCAGGGGGCTGTCCCCCTCCCTGGGGAAGTCCATCTGCCAGCGACCCCACTGTCCACACTGGGACACGAGGCAGGGGGAGGCCCTGGGATAGGGCGGCTCCTGGCCCGGGTCCGGTGTTGCCACACTTAATACAGGCTCCAGGAGGGCCAGAGCATTTAACCAAGTGGGCTTCGACTTGGAGCAGGTCTGGGCCCAGTGCCCAGCATGGTCGCATCCGTAACAGGGCCCTGGGGGGGGACTTGGTGGAGGCCCTCCTCCCTAGTGTTAAAACAAGAAAAGCCGCATCTCGGGGGTCCCTCTGGGGCCCCGGGACTGGTGTTAGTGTGCGTCATCATTGCCTCTGTGAGGGGCACAGAAATAGAGCAGGGTTTTCCCGGGGCTCCCGGGTGACCTCTCCGATCTCCTCATAATTAACCTGTCTATGGCTGTCCTACCCATGGCCGCCGGCAGGCAGGAGATCACGTGGTGTCGGCCTGTAGCCCCGGGGCCCCGGCTTGGTAAGGCCAGTCCCGGTTAGGGCTGGCTCTGGGGGTCCTCGACCTGTTGAGGTCTGATGGGGAGGACACAGAGACCCTGACCAGACCTTCGCTCCAGGCACTGCCGTGAGGGGATCCGATGGAGGGTTAGGTGGGGCGGTAGGAGAGGAGGCTGGGGCTCCGGAACCCCCGGGGATGGGGGACCGGCAGGGTGAGGGTCTCAGAGCGGGGAGGGGGGGGGGCGGGCACTGGGGCGCCGGCTTCTCGGGGGGGCAGAGAAGGGAGGGATCCAAGCCTGTCATAGTGAGGCCAAATTTTGGTACAGAGCCTAATTAATCGCTTCTGCTTTCTCTCTCCCGTTAGGCCTGGCCTGCGCCAGCTTTCTAAGAGGCAGGCCAAAGGGGAGTCGGGTGAGGCCCGAGGGGAGGGGGTCCTCCCAGGGCGGCCCCACCCCAACCGAGAACCGCAGTCTGAGGCCTCCTAAGAGGAGAGAGCGAGAAATCCCGAGCTCAGACCAGCGTCCCGGTTCTAAGTGAGGGAAACGGACCGAGCACCCCGGGCCCCCGGGCCCCCGGGCTGGGGGGATGGACCCCTCACAAGCGTGTTCCGCAGAGGCGGCTGGGGTCAGGACGACAAGAGGAGATCGTAGGAGAGAGAGGTGAGGGGTGGGCGGAGACAGGGCAAAGTGGAAGGAGTTCAGGAAGGAGTTCGGAGGAGGGGTGGGGGCCACAGCTCTTGCCCAGGGAGTGCAGGAGCGGCCGGTGGGGGCTGATGCTGACCCTCGCTCCCCTCACCGGGCGGCCTCCCTCTGCCCGCAGACGGCATCCTGGCCTTCCTGGAGGACATCAAGCCGGAGGACGCGCTGTGCGTGCTGGGCCTCACACTGGCCGACCTGTACCCCAACGACGCCTGGGCCTTCACCTTCGGCAAGTTCCGGCCGGGCCGCGGTGAGCCGGGGGCCCCGCACGCAGGGGCGGGGGGACGCTGGGTTACAGTGCCGGCTCCCGCTGGGCCTGACCCTGCGCCTCTTCTCTGCCTGTCCCCAGAAGTGGCCGTCTGCAGCTTTGCCCGCTTCTCCGGGGGCTTCCTACAGGTGGGGCCCAGCGCCCCTGAGCTGGCACTGGCCAAGGCAGCGGCCAGCAGGCCGGGGAGCCCCCTGCAGGAGGGAGGCCCGGCCCCCTGCATTGGTGCCCTGGGGCTGGCGCAGTGTTGCAAGGTGGGTGCCTAGGCTGGCTGGGGCCCCGTCCCTGCACGGTGGAGAGGCTCCGAGACCCCGAGTGTCGGCCTGAGGCCACGCAGGGTCTGAGCCAGCGTGGGGTAGGCCTCAGGAGCATCGTGGCCGAGTTGGTGGCCGGGACCCTGTGCCGCCCAGCCCCCGCTCCAGCAGTGGGGCCTGTGGGTGGGGTGGGGGTTGGGGACACAGCTGCAAGGCGGTGGCGACCCCCACCCCACCCCACCAGGTCGCCTGCCATGAACTCTGCCACCTGCTGGGCCTGGGGAACTGCCGCTGGCTGCGCTGCCTCATGCAGGGGGCACTGCGCCTGGACGAGGCGCTGCGCCGGCCCCTGGACCTCTGCCCTATCTGCCTGCGGAAGCTGCAGCACGTCCTGGGCTTCAAGCTCCTGGACAGGTACAAGGTGAGTGCCGGGGCCGGGGCCGGGGCCGGGGCTGGGGCTGGGGCGGCCCCTGCAGCTCTCGGGGAGCGCGGGCCCCCGTGGGGTGCAGCTGCCCAGCGCTGGTTCCGGTTTGAAATCAGGCTCTGAGGGCCCTGCCTGTTCGGCCTGACGGCTGGGGGGCCTCTGCTCTGAGAGAGGCGCCCCTTCCCACGGGGTCAGCTCCAGGAGGGATGGTCGGATGGAACCGGGTTTTCCCGTTGCTTGGGCGTTTTAACTGCGAGGGTCTTTGTTTTCTCTAAGACGTATTTACTTGAAAGGCAGAGCGAGCTTCCGTCCTGCCTGTTCACTCCCCACGTGGAGTGAACTCCACCCGGGTCTCCCGCGTGGGAGCAGGGGCCCACGCCCCGGGTCTCCCACTGCTTTCCCAGGTGCGTGAGCAGCCGGGACTCAAACTGACACTCAGTGGGATGCTGGGGGCACGGGTGTGGCTTAACCCACTGCGGCACAGTGCAGGCCCCTAATTTAGGAGAGCTTTATGTAATTCGACTTTGAAGTGTCTTCAAAAAGTTCTTGGAAAATGCACGTCCTGAGATGATACGTGGATGTCAATTTTTGGCACCAAAACTTACTTCCGACCCCCACGGGCTCCTGCAAGGGCGCTGGAGCGTGCTGAGTTCCCGACAGGTGGACGGCGGAGGGCGGGCCGGCGCGGGGGTTCCGCGCGTCCCCCTGTGTCCACACACAGCCTGCTTGTTTGTCCCTCAGAGACTGCACGCCTGGACCCAGGCAGTGCTGGAGAGCTGGCCCGGCCACGAGGCGGGGGAGCGGTCCCTGACGGAGGACACCCCGCCCCTCAGCGCCGACTCGGGCGTGTGCTGGGAGAGCGACTCGGAGCCGCTCAGCAGCCCCTCCGAGCCGCCCACCCCCGACACGCTGAGCCGCCCCTTCCCCGCCGGCCTGGAGCTGGACCCCAAGGCCAGGCTGGGCTCCCTGGAGGCTTCAGAGGCCGTGCCACAGCCCAGGGGCCCCGGGGAGGCCATGGAGGCCCACGGGCGCTGGCTGGCCGCCTGCATCCAGGCCCTGGAGAGGGACGTGGCCGAGGAGGAGCTGGCCCTGCTGGACCAGGCCGTGGACGCCCTGGAGCGCTGGGAGCTGTTCACGGGGCAGCTGCCGGCCCCCAGGCAGGACGTGCCCAGCGCTCGGGACGGCACGGGGCTGCGCCGGGCCCTGGGGGACAAGTTCTCCTCGCTGCGGCGGCGGCTGAGTGCCCGGCGGCTGTCCAAGGCCGAGTCTCCCCCCTGCGACTGGGACGGGGAGACGTAGCCGGTGGGGCCCCCTGCGGCAAGCCGCCGCCATCTCGGGATCCCAGCGCCGCTGCCGCCGCCCTTCCCCAGGTCTGCCCGGTGCGTTCTGGAGCGCTCGGAGCGCTGTTTTCTGTCACGTGTCCTGGGCTGGCGGTGACGTCGCTCCCAGGGAGAGGGACTGCCCCCTGGGACCGCAGAGTCCCTATGGGGCCCCAGAGTGTGGCGGGTTAAAATTACCATGGCTGCGTCCCCTGCACGCCGGGCGGCAGCTCTGTGGCCCCTGGTCCCCGCGCATCAATTCCACGCGCTGTCTCTGCCGTCACCGGGGGACTGGGCACAGACAGGTTCGCCCCCTGCTATGTGCCCCCCGCTTCCCAGCGTTCTGTCTTCGCCACGCGGACCCCCGCCAGGACGGCAGATTAAAGGTGGGGCCTTTGCCGGAGCTGCTCCTGTCATGTGCTGGGTCCCTGGAAGCATTTGTGGGGGGCAGAGAGCAGAACCCCGAGAACCCAACTTTGCCCACCATGTGGGAGCTGCAGCCTGTCCCGCCCACTTGGGGTGGGGCGGGGGCGGAGCCACAAAGGCCGCCCCCACAGGGCAGCCATTTTCGCAAAACGGGGGCAATGGTGTATGTACATCTAAACATTTCTTAAAAACTGGACAGCCTACCTTCTCTGTGTGCCTGTTCCTTCCCTGCGCACAACCCCGGGGCGGTGACCAGGGAGCCTGACTTTCCAGGGCTCCTCACAGCCGGGGGGGCCCCAGAGGACGGGTGCGGAGCTGAGAACCTGGGGCCCAGGCCCAGCGTGTCCTCCCGGGATTGGCCATGGTCTGCACTGGTCTGGGGCCAGGGGAGGTCGCGTTCATTCCCCACGTCCTGGCGCCGTGGCTGCACGCACAGGCTGTGCCCACCCACCTGCCACCCAAGGCAGCCCATCCAGCAGCACCTGTGGCCTGAAGCCGCGTTCCAGCCGGCTGAGCCAGCCCGGCTCCGGCCAGCACCTGCCTGAGGAAGAAGAGAGCTTCAAATGCTGTTACCCTTGGCTGGCGCCGCGGCTCACTAGGCTAATCCTCTGCCTGTGGCGCCAGCACCCCGGGTTCTAGTCCCGGTCAGGGCGCCGGATTCTGTCCCGGTTGCCCCTCTTCCAGGCCAGCTCTCTGCTGTGGCCCGGGAGTGCAGTGGAGGATGGCCCAAGTGCTTGGGCCCTGCACCCCATGGGAGACCAGGAGAAGCACCTGGCTCCTGGATTTGGATCGGCTGGAATGCCGGCCGCGGCGGCCAATGGAGAGTGAACCAACGGCAAAGGAAGACCTTTCTCTCTGTCTCTCTCTCTCACTGTCCACTCTGCCTGTCAAAAAAAACAAAACAAATGCTGTTACCCTTGTAACCCCGGGTCAGGGAGTGGGGGGGAGCAGCTGCCTCTTGCCCCTGCTGTTTAGGGTCCCAGGGACCAGGAGGGGGTGGAGGCCCAGCCCGGTGTCCCCAGTGTGCAAGCAGGAGGCTGGGCGTGAGGCTCCTGCGGCAGCTCCCACCCTGACTCCATGCTGGGCAGGCGGGGGCGGCCCCCATGAACCCCCTTCCTGCTCCCAGCTCTGGGCGGGGCTCTTGATGGCACAGCCCTGCTTGCTGTGGACCTTGGGGTCGGGGCAAAGCCTAGGAAAACACAGCGAACCAGGGCTCGGCAGGCAGAGCCCTGGGCACCCTCCTTCCCCAAAGCCTCTCTCCATGGCGCCAGCGTCGCCCGAAGGCCCAGAGCTTCTGCCACTGGATCGCAGGCACGCTCAGTGCTGCTGGGGGGTGGCACGTGGGAACCCGCCCCAGCGCGGGACTGGGCTGTGGCGCTGCGGGGTGTGATGGGCCCCATCCCAGGAGGGCAGCTGGGAGGCAGAGGCCCCCCCAGTGTCCCGGCCTTCCCAGGGAGAGGCCTCCTCTGAGACCCTGCACGCGGCATCACCTGCTGGAGGATTTGCCAAGCTCACAAAGGGGCCAGCTTTTGTCACCGGCCTGTCCCTGTTCTTGCCGGGACGTCACCGGAGAGGCCAGCTTCCGTCTCACGGAGCTCACCTGCAGCGTCTTGCCTTCCTGGTGCCTCCGTGCTGACTCGCCATCTCGCCTGTGCCCCCGGTCACTAGGCTGAAAAGTCACGTGGGAGGGGCTCCAGGAGGGGAAGGAGCAGAGGGAGGGGCACGGGCCAGCGCCCAGCTCCGCCACAGCTCTGGACGGCGCAGGCTGGCCGCGGCTGCTGCTCCCAGGACAGCACCGGCTCCGAGCGGGAGTCCGACCCTGAGGCCCACGCTGTGGCCGCGTCCCAGGAGCCCCGGTGACGGGCACCCCGTGCTCAGAGGGCCGGCAGGCCTGGCACACCTGGGGGAGACCTCACTCAGCAGACTGAGAACGCCAAGCACACTTTCCACACCTGCCGCGCAGGGCGCAGCCACACGGAGGCCCAGGGGCTCGGGCTGCTCAGGGACACGCGGGCCGGCAGCCACCATGGGCGTCCCAGCCAGACGGCCCCGCGCACGCCGCCTTGTGTCGGCTCAGGGTCACGACGAGAAGGGCGTTTCGAATGTCGCATCGGTTGGTGGAGTGGGTGCAAAGGCAGCTCCCTGGAGGCGGGCCGTGATGGAGCCCGACAGGACGGGGCTGGCGGGTGCATCCGGACGACCGTGCCCAGGCGCCCAGGTCCCTCCAGGTGGCCGGGAGCCACAGGGACCGGTCTACGTGTCCTCGGGTGTCTCTGCCCCCCGATCTACGCGCCCTCGGGTGTCTGCCCCCTGATCTACACGTCCTCAGGTGTCCTCTGCCCCCCGATCTACACGTCCTCGGGTGTCTCTGCCCCCCGATCTACGCGTCCTCAGGTGTCCTCTGCCCCCCGATCTACGCGTCCTCAGGTGTCCTCTGCCCCCCGATCTACACGTCCTCAGGTGTCCTCTGCCCCCCAATCTACGCGTCCTCAGGTGTCCTCTGCCCCCCGATCTATGCGTCCTCAGGTGACCTCTGCCCCCCGATCTACACGTCCTTGGGTGTCTCTGCCCCCCGATCTACGCGTCCTTGGGTGTCTCTGTCCCCCGATCTACGTGCCCTCAGGTGTCTCTGCCCCCCCGATCTACGCGTCCTCGGGTGTCTCTGTCCCCCGATCTACGCGTCCTCTGCCCCCCGATCTACGCGTCCTCGGGTGTCTCTGCCCCCCGAACTACATGTCCTCAGGTGACCTCTGCCCCCTGATCTATGCATCCTCTGCCCCCCGATCTACACGTCCTCAGGTGACCTCTGCCCCCCGATCTACACGTCCTCGGGTGTCTTCTGCCCTCCGCAACCCAGCCCCTTTGGAGGACACTGGTGGAAGGGACCCTGTGGCCCCCAAGCTGCTGTCACTCCCAGCACAGGTCCCGGGGAGCCCCTTCCGGAGGGCGTCTCCCACACAGGGGTACCCAGGGGCTCCCCGCGCTCTGCACACGCACACAGCCCGACTAACTCCCTTGGGTGAAACACCTGGACTTTTTAAGATACAAAGTAAAGGGAGGCCGGAAACAGTCGCAAACAGTCTCGGCTCTAATAAGCAGGAAGCCTGCAGACAAGACCACCTTCCAGAACCTTCCACAGCTGGCGCCCTGCCTCGAGCACCCGGGCTCCGCTGACTTAGTGGGCGGCAGGGTCTCGCTGCCCACACTCAGATGCCCGGGCTCCCCTTAGGGAAGCACCCACGGCGAGTCCAAGGCAGGAACATAGGTGCCACCCTGCCCCACCCCCGGCCACGCAGGCGGGTGTGCGTCCTAGCCAGCACAGGCAGAGCAGGGCTTAGCCCGGCACGTCCCCCGGGGTCAGCGCACCTCCTCCGGCGGGGGTTCCCTGGGGATTGACCTGAGCCAGAGAACAGCCCGACGGGCATCTTGCACACCCGGGATCCATTTGGGTCTGAGGTGGGCTTCCGCCCGTGGCCCCACAGTCAGACCCTCCTCAGGCATCCTGCACTGTGGCTGGGCCAGCCGGCTCGTGGGGTGTGGAGCACCTCTGACCAGGCGCCTCCGGCCTGGCTCCCCACCCACACCCTTCTGCGCCGGCTCTGCCCTGGCCTTGCTCTGCGTGCCCACGACCTCCCTCTCCGGTCCGTGGACCACACCAGGTGTCCACTGTCAGTTCTTCCCGGGGCCCTCACCCTCGCGTGTGCAGGACTTCATGTCCCTGGCCGCACAGACGCGCTGCTGGGGCGGGGGTGCGTCCGCCCTCACCGCCCTCACCGCCCCCACTCTCCAGGCCTTGTCCTTGTGCGGACACAAACTGACGGGCCAGCCACGAGCCTTCCCGTAACACCGGGACTGATTTGCTCTCAGTGTTGGGGACTGAAAAATCAACCCCTGGCCTTGCATCCCTAGTGGTATTTTACATCGAGTAAAGATGCCTATGGATTTATTTCAATAAACCTGAGAGAAGGAAGGTGCTCCAAACTGCAGACAGACACTGCCAGTCAGTGCCAACACAGCGCACAGCGTGCACAACTGGCCCCGGGCCACGCCCATCACGACAGGCGCCTCACACGCACAGGGCCTGCGCCCACACCTGTCCCCAGGACGCCCAGGCCCGCCGGTCACGAAGCGCAAGTTCCTGCGAGAGCTTGCGTCCTGATCGATAACCCGACTCCCTTTCCTTCGGAAGTAGAGAGCCCGGGACCCGGAGCCCAGGACCCGGGTGGGACCCAGCCCAGGACCCGGAGCCCAGGACCTGGGTGGGACCCAGCCCAGGACCCGGAGCCCAGGACCCGGAGCCCAGGACCCGGGTGGGACCCAGCCCAGGACCCGGAGCCCAGGACCCGGAGCCCAGGACCCGGGTGGGACCCAGCCCAGGACCCGGAGCCCAGGACCCGGAGCCCAGGACCCGGAGCCCAGGACCCGGGTGGGACCCAGCCCAGGACCCGGAGCCCAGGACCCGGAGCCCGCCCCGGCGGCCGGTGGGGCCCGGCCCAGGGTGCAGCACGAGCAGCAGCCTCTGCGTTCCAGGGTGTTTATTGTTAGACCTCTGCGCACGGGGGAGGCAGCCCCTCCTGCTTCTCCAACATCTCATACAAAAGACAGTGACATCAGAATACAAGTACAAAAGCCTCAAGTTCTGCGAAGAGACGAGCGCCGCCCCGGGACCTGCCCCAGCCCCAGGGCCCAGGCCCCTCAGTCCAGCGGAAACAGGGACAGCAGGGGCAGGGGCGGGCGGGCGCACGCGCGGAGCAAGCACTTCCTGCCAAGGCTGACCTCAGCCCCTGGGGTGGGGTTAAACAAGGCCACAGGGCAGCCGTGGGGCGGCCGTGGGAGGCGGCACGGGCAGCCCTCCAGGGCTCACAGAGACGGGGCCCCGCCCAGAGCCGTGGGCGCTGGCCACAGGGCACCTCCCACCGGAAATGGCACAGCAAGAACAATGCTATTTTCCCAGCCAAAGCTGACCCGACTCCTGCGCGGCCAAAGAGGCTCACGCCGCCCCTCACTCGAACCCTACAGTGACAAGCCTGCCCCTCCTCTGCTCCTGCAGCTGCCACACAAGCCTGGAAGGCCACAGGGACCTGAGGGCTGGCGAGGGTGAAGCGTGGGCCACGGCCCCGGCCAGTTACGGGGAGGCCAAGCCCCCAGGCCCGGGAGACGGCACGTTTGTGCGGGAGGGTCGCTACGGGGGACCGGGCTGGAATGCAAGGTTTGTGAAGCACAGTGGAAGCCCTCGGCCGTGAGCTTAGGTCTGAGGCTGGCACCGACACGCGCGGCCTCCTGCAGCCTCCCGCAAGGCGCTTCCGTGTCACGTGCGTGCAGGGAAGCAGGAGAGGCCGACAGGAGAGCCGAGAGCGTGCGGCAGGCAAAGGCACCTGGTGCTGGCAGCGTGGGGACCTCGGGGCTTCCTGAGCGGCCAGAAGCCCCAGAGGACGTGTGTGAGGCCTGCTGTCTGCTCATGCGCCATGAGCATGTGGGGAGATGACTCGCCCGGGGAAGGGGCTCAGCCACAAGGCCACTTGGGTTCTGCGTCTCTGCCACTGGGTGGGGACGGGTGGGTGTGGTCAGGCGTGGGAGCACCCCTGTGCGCACCGCAGCGTGCCGCTGGGCAACACGGCGGGCACGCCGCCAGGGCGGTGTTAAGGCAGGTCCACGCAGCGGGCAGGGGCCCCTCGGCTCTACCTAACACACGTGGACGGGGCGCCGAGGACCCGGCCCGGGGTCTGCTCCCTCTGGAAGGCGCGTGAGGTGAGCAGCACCGCGGGCCGGCGTCCCCGCAGGGCCAGCTGCTTGCTGGCTTCTGTCACTGAGAGGGCGTGCGCGCACACACCACCCGCCTCGCTGGGTCAGAAGGGATCAAGTGTCGGTAAAGGGAAAAGCGAGCTGTGCTGTCAGGATCCCAAGGTGGCGCCGCGCGCGGCGGCTTGCTTCTCAGTAGTCTCAGCGGTGCGAGCCGGCGCGGGCCGGGCCTCACTGCAGCATGATGTCCTTGAGGTTCTCCTGCAGGATGGTGTCCTTCACGGCGTGGAACACGAAGCGGATGTTCTCGGTGTCGATGGCGGTGGTGAAGTGGTGGAACAGGGGCTTGCTGCGGTTCCGCCGCTTCCGGTCGAAGCACTGGACCAGGTAGCGCTGCACGTCCTCCAGCCGGTGCGGGTCGCCCTGGAAATCCGGGAAGTGCTTCCGGATGCTCACCGTCTTCACCTTCTCCACCAGGAGGTCCATCTTGTTGAGGAAGAGGATGATGGAGACGTTGACGAAGAGCTTGTTGTTGACGATGGTCTCGAAGATGTTCATGGACTCCAGCAGGCGGTTGGTGCGCCTGTCCTCCATGAGCACCTGGTCGTACTCGCTGGAGGACACCATGAAGAGGATGGACGTGATCCCGTCGAAGCACTGGAACCACTTCTGGCGCTGGGAGCGCTGGCCGCCCACGTCCACCATCTTGAAGGGGATCTTCTTGATGACGAAGTCGTGCTCCGCGATGCCTTTGGTGGCCTTTCTCGCCAGCAGGATGTCCTGCTTGCTGGGGAGGTAGTTCTGTAACAGAGCGGGGAGGGAGGGGGACGCGACGTCGGGCCGGGCCCCCAAGGCGAACGCAGCTCGCGCCGCCCGAGTCCCCGCCTCCGGGGCCTCTGCCCGCACACCCCGTCTCCCCACCTCCACGGCGCGCGAGCTCATCCCACGTAGGGTTTGCCGTGCTACTGAGATGCCGCCTGCGGCCTCGTCCTGAGCAGCACTCTCGGCTGCAGCGAGACACGGCCAGGCCGGGTCACGGGACAGAGCCAGAGGCCGTGGCCGGGAACGCCACTGGGCTGTAGGAAGCCCTGTGGGTCAGCGGTCTGGTTACCTCGGTAACGGCACCGACAGAAACCTAGGGAGACCTGTGTGACACTGGACAACTGCAGAGTGGACCTTACGGAGACGCTGATAAAATCCGGGGCGAGAGTCCGAGCGAGCAGTTAGGCTGCTGGCTGGAGCCCGGGTCCCGTTCTGGGTGTTTGGGTTCCCGATCCAGCTCCCGGCTCCACTTTGTGCTCATGTACACCCTGGGAGGCGGCAGGTGCTGGCTCACGTAGCTGGGCTCCTGCCAAACGTGCGGGAGACCTGGACTTGCTCCTGGCTCCAGCCTGCCTCCGCCCTGGCCACTGCTGCCATCTGGGGAGTGAGCCCGTGCAAGGGGGCTCTGCCTCTGGGTGCAGTCATTCTCACAGGACCACCTCTCCCCTCCCCCTAGACAGCCTGCCGGTTCCACGCAGGAGTGCCGCCCACTCACAGCCGGAGCCCTGCTCCCGGACGGCTCTGGTCTCCTGGTCCTGACTCACCAGCTGGCCGATGCGGTCCAAGTTGTCCAGGAAGTACTTCACTGACTCCCCCTGTCACAGAGGAGAAACACCATGACTCAGGGCTGATCGAGGACCCCGAGGACGCGGCAGGGGGACAGGGACGTGGCAGCCTCGGTAAACAGGACAGCAAGGCAGAACTGATGGGGTAGGGTGTTTGTAACATGGAAAACACACAACTGAGAATTATAAAATACAGTTTCAGTGGCCCCAGCCCCAGCCGCGGACTGTTTTCCAAAGCAACCCAGTGGGACTCCAGCGCTTACACAGATGCTGGCCTCGCGGCCCAGCCAGGGCACTGCCCAGCTCCAGGGGCGACCCCACAACCACCAGGGAGAAGCCGTGCACGGCTACACTGCCAGGGCCCCTGCAGCCATGAGCCCACGGAGCCCCACGAGCACTCATCCCCCCACCCCGCACGCGAGCTGCCCCAGGGTTCCTGTGTCACCCGTGCACGAGGCTCTGTGGGAAATGGGGCGCCCGCGGCAGGGGTGTTCATGGGGAGCGCGAGGGCACAGCCCGAGCTGTGACTTCATGGAGAGGCGTGAAGGCCCTGCGTGGGGACGGGGCAGGACGCCTCCCCATCGGGAACGGAGCCCTGGGGAAGGGTTCGAGAGCGCCGTGTGGACGGGGAGAGCGTGCACGCAGCCCCTGTGCACTGGCCAGGCTCCTAGCGGGCCAACTCTGGTCCCCGGCACAGGTCTCCAGGGCACGGTGACTGACAGGGGGTTCTCACGGCCCCTCCCCCACGTGGAGCAAGCCACTGCCTGCAGGGAGAGGGCCGCCGGCCTCGGGCAGAGCTGCCGCAGGACGGGGAGCTCAGCTCGGTGTGCTCCTCCCTCGGGCGCCTCCTGCCGGGTCTCAGGAAGGCTGGTGGAGGCGGGGGATGCAGCAGCACCGACGCCACAGCCCGGTGGCCGTCACTGCGAGATGCTGCGACCGAGGTGTCTGAGCACACAGGGCCGAGTGCTTACTGCCCGTGGCTTGGGGAAAACACTTCTATCGAGCTGGGAGTCAGAGTCTCCCGACTGTTCCTCAAAACCTAAGAAACGCCAGGGCGGGCGCTGGGGCGCGGGACGCCAAAACCACCGCCTGGGATGCCCGCAGCCCGCACACTAAGCGTCTGAGTCCTGGCCACGCCACGCGTCTAACCCAGCTCCCCACTAATGCTCTAGGAGGCAGCAGAGGACACCCACGTGCGTGGGCCCTGCTGCTCACGTGGGAGACCCAGGTGGAGCTCCGGCTCCTGGCTCGGCCTGGCCTGGCTATTGTGCGCATTTGCAGGTGATCTCTCTCTGTCTCTCTCACTGTGCCTATCAAATACATAACTACATAAACCTTAACAATATGTACACAAACGCCAGCATGGAAAGACTGCCACTGCGTCTTGCTCGCCGCGCAGCTGTGTGACTCCCCTGCAGCGGGCTCTCTGTCCCCTGCGTGTACGCAAGTTCCGGCTCATTCTTGGCCACTGCACGGTTGGCGGCCTCGGCGCTTCCTCAGGACCACAGGGCTCTAGGAGGTGGGGCTGGGGGACGGGAGGGCAGGGGGGCACTGGGAACCCACAGGTTAACATCCTGGCACACCTGTAGACCCGGCACCTCTGTACAACCCTAACGTGTGCCGTGAACGGCTCCAGAGGTCCAGGAGCACACAGCTGCACAGGGAACAGAGCTGCATCAGAGTGTGCACCCTGGTGTGCGCTTCCTCTGGTACACACAACGCGGGACAATTAACCACACCATGCACGCTACTCACAAGGATGTATCATGCCCAGGTACAATCGAGCACGCGGCAGGAGCAGGCCAGAGACGGCTGGGAGGCCCCTCTGAGGGCGTCCGACTTCAGAGCCATTCTAAAACCTTCCATAACCCAAAACAGACTAACAAAACATCGATCCTTCAAAATGGAGGTCAGACTGAGCAAAGGGAACCAGCAGTGTGGAGGTGGGGCACTGGGGCTCTGCCCCTCGGTCAGATGGCCAGAGCGGGCAGGAGGGGGCCCTGCCGGGAGCCACAGAGGCGGAGCCGGCCCCCCAGAGCACAGGACCCTACC